TATTGCACTTGGGCAAAAAAAATGAGAGGCACAAATACAAGATGGGGGACACCTGGCTTGAGAGCAGTACATGTGAAAAGGATCTAGGAGTCTTGGTTGACACAAACTTGACATGAGCCAACAGTGTGACGCGGCAGCTAAAAAAGCCAATGCTTCTGGGCTGCATCAATAGGAGTATAGCATCTAGATCAAGGGAAGTTAGTGCCACTGTATTCTGCTCTGGTCAGACCTCACCTGGAGTACTGTGTCCAGTTCTGGGCACCACAGTTATAATAATAATAATAATAATAATTTATTACGGCCATAGGCCCATACAGATAAAAACAAGACATAAATAACAGCGTGTGCACATGGGAAAAAACAGCCGCTAAAACACTACTATAACAATAAAATACTATAAGATGGAATGGCATGCTACGCCTTGTGGTGCTCCTTGGCAACGCTTTTGGGTAAGGACAGCGACCAGGAACCTAGCCACTTTCAGGGTCGTATGGGTATCCTTATCCTGCAAGATTTGGGCAAGGTGGAATTTTGGTGGGGTACCCTCTAGTTTCTGAATGATTGATCCCAACAAATTTGCCCGTGGCACCTTGAATAAGGGGCAAGTGAATATAATGTGCTGAAGCGACTCTGCCGTCTCCTTATCACATTCGCACATGGCGGAGGCTTGGCCCTTTGAGAATCTATGTCTCAGGACATTGGAGGGAAAAACGTTAAACCTCGCTTTGGTGAAGGCCAGCCTATGGGCAACAGTCGAGGGAGGAGAGGTATGATGGAAGCGGTAAGTTAAAGTGATACCAATGTTCTGGGCGAACAAACACCCTCCCAGCATATAATTTCGCTGTAATCGATGTCATCCAGTCTTTGGCGGATCGTCTTTGAGCAGTGATATTGATCTAGTTTTAGGGAATCTAAGGAGAGATTCCATAGCTCAGGAGTTTGGCATGAATTCTACTAGTCCAAGGCTGGAAAATTCATCTCGCCATAAGCATTGGACAAGGTAATGGTCTGGTAATCTATGCCACAATGATAACCAATAATTGAAGACTTGCTTCCACAGGCAAGTTTCTAAGGATGCGATCTTCAATTCTAGTCGCATGGCTGCGTTGCTTACGCACAGGGGGAGCATTAGGAGCGACGTAGGAATTGGTTTTGCAGAGTCTCAAGAGGAGGTCTGTCATCCGGCCCAGAGCGGGGCAGCTAAGTAAGCAGGGTACACTTTTGCCTTGACACCTTTAGGGCGAGGGAACATGCAAAGCTCATCCGAAAAGAAAAATCGGAGGAGCGCATATGACGAGTTTTGGCCTTGTTAAGGAGGTGTTGAATTTGTGCTTTCACCCAAATTGTATTGAAAAATAACTCCTAGGTATTGAAATTTTAGGACTTGCTCTATTTTTGCTCCGCAAGCTTCCTTCGTATAATCTCCGACTTCTGGCGAAAATCAGAATCTTAGATTTAGCATGGTTGATGGTTAATTGGTTGAGTTGACAATACGTGGCAAAGACAATACGTGGCAAAGCGGACACGGAGCAATGGATCCAAACTACAAGAAAGAAGATTCCACCTAAACATTAGGAAGAACTTGCCTGACAGTAAGAGCTGTTCGACAGTGGAATTTGCTGCCAAGGAGTGTGGTGGAGTCTCCTTCTTTGGAGGTCTTTAAGCCAGAGGCTTGACAACCATATGTCAGGAGTGCTCTGATGGTGTTTCCTGCTTGGCAGGGGGTTGGACTCGATGGCCCTTGTGGTCTCTTTCAACTCTAGGATTCTATGATTCTAGGTGGATCAAAATAATTGCAGGGGTGTGTCTGGTATGGTGTTTTGTTATAACGGTTGTCCATTTGAATGGAAGTCCCAGACACAAACCATTATTTGTCTCTCCACAACAGAGAGTGAATTATGGCATGCGTTCAGGCCACTCATGATGTGGAATGGTATCTGCAAGTATTTGCAGACCTACAGATGAAAGTAACACTACCAGTAAGAGTTTACCTTGATTCCCAGAGCGGAACTTGCTATCCTGTGTTCAGAGACCAATACGCAGCGCACTAGAGTCTTAAGGTTACGTTTACAGTTTGTAAAGAAACTAATTTTCTGATGAAATGATTGTATTCAATATGTTCCAGGTGACAATCAAATTGCAGACATTTTTACTAAAAGCACTTCCAAAGGTTACTCATGAAAGACGTGTACAAAATATGCTTTATAGATTTTGTTCCACAATGATGAACCGCAGGGGAAATGTTGAATGGGGTTTTCTTTAATGTAAAGGTTCATCATTGTTCCACCAGTTGTGTATGTCTTTCAGGGGCCAGAGCAAGGGCCAGAGCAAGATAACGAGACCCAGCTTTACAGCTGTGAAACACAGCAGGTGCTGAGTTGTATTGATTAAGCTGTGTCAGCATTTGGGTGTAGTATATAAGGAGCAGCACCTAGCTCTTCCGTTACCCTGGGGATGGGTTGGTGGTTGGGTCTGGTTTGTTGTTGGTGTATTTAGGAGTTTTTGTTTTTGTTATTAAAACCTTGTTTAAGTTATTTTTGAGTCCCTTTTTAACGCATGGTCTCCCCAGCAAGCTCTCTGCAGTGCTACTATACTGCAAATAGCTAACACTGGCACCTCTCAGGTGGGCACTATTGCCATTATAAGAGAATGAGGGAGGTGAGTTCATGGTGAGTCCTGGCACCTCTTTTTCTAGAAAAATAGCACTGGCTGGCACCTTCCCCTGGGATGGCCATGCCATACAGCTTTCATCTAGTTCACACCTGAACTTTCCAACGCAATACGATTTGAAATTGCAGCATTAAGCCTTGGTCACTCACATCAAAGTCCAGATGCTCGGAGACATATTTCAGGAGTGCGTTGGTGGTCTTGACTGCTCTTTGCCGCTCACTGATTTTTGTGGAGTCAATCCAGCCTTTTATGTGCTGCGAGAGAGAAATCATCGTCATCACATGGAAGGACAACCCTTAATCCAGGTTTGCAAATTCACAAAGCTTCATAGAGGGGACAAATTGCAAAAAGGGGTTGTTTTGTAAAGGAGAAAGTTTGCTGCAATTTGTTTATTAATAATAATAATAATAATAATAATAATAATAATAATAATACCCCACCTCTTTCCCAGACAGGGACTCGAGGCAGCTTACAAACAAAACAAGAACAACTAAAGACACAGAAAAAAGAAGCCATTTAAAAAAAGCATTAGTAGAATTAGATATTAATTGGCTCTTGGGTTGCTTTTGTTTTATTATGCATTTTCTGTTCTGATTTTGTATTTTTATGTTGTGAACCGCCCTGCAATCTGTCATTTGTGTGTTTGTGTGTGTGATAATTGCAACAATACAACATACACCTCACCACAGCCATAGCAATGGAATGCAGGAAGCATCCTTAGACCAAGCCCAGCCATTGTTCCACAGGTAATGAGGACTGGCAGTTGGCCCTTTGGGCTTTCAGGCAGAGAGCCTTTTCCCAGCCCCACCTGGAGATGCTGAGGACTGAACCGGGGACCTTGGGCATGCAAGACAGATGCTCTGTCCCGAGCCACGGCCCTTCCCCATACGCCATCAGCAGAGGACATATCTTGTGTGCCTTGCACAAGCATTGCTAGCAGAACAGAGGCCCACTTGACCATCAGCACCCACAACCAGTGAGTTGGCCACAGATGCCCCCCGTGCAATCATTTCAAGAGGGTCTGTCCTCCGGCATGGGAGCTGCTGCTTCCCCCTGCTCTGACACCTTGGGGGCTCCCTTACCACTAATATCTCCTGCAGCGTCTTCAGAGAGGGGGCCTCTGACAGCAAGCTGGTGAGCATGTTGAGCCAGATGTACACGGTTTCTTGATAACAGTCCTGGAAGGAGAGAAGCAAAAGCACTTAGAAGCTGAAGACCCCCATGGAAATCCCATATGCTCTGGAGCCTTCTAGTCCAAATTTGTAACAAAGCTTATGCAGGGGTTCAAGCACGGCACACAAAGAGTCATAAACATCAAACGTTTCTTGATGTATGTAAGGTTACAGGTCATGCGATATAAAGATACAGGACTCCACACTGGGCTCAACTTCCTTGGGGTGTTCCAAGGCAGAGGGCCGCCTTGGTGGTGGGGCCCACCCCGTGGAACACCCTCCTATCAGATGTCAGAGAGATATATCATTATACTTCCGTCTGAAGACATCTGAAGGCAGCCCTGCATAGGGAAGTTTTAAATATTTGACGTCTGGCTGTGTTTTAATTTGTTGGAAGCCGCCCAGAGTGGCTAGAGTAACCCAGTCAGATGGGCAGCATATAAACAAACAAGCAAACAAATAAAATTAAATGCAGCGTAGGAGGGAGGCATGAGAGTCACAAAATGCAGGCATGCAGGAATCATACGTGGATGCATTCTAGCAAAGGTGAAATGTAATAAATATGGAAACATGATTAAAATCAAAAATATACACCCCAAGTCTCTGGCTGTTACATCATTGTGATGGGTCAAGTGTCTCAGGCAGCATTCTTTGCGGCTTACACGGCTCAGACTCTTTGCCCTCAAATCCTTTAACCTGGCAACCCCATTTTCCTCCAAAAGCAGAAGGTCCAGTCACCTGGCTCGGTGTTGCTTTGACCGAGCTCCCAGCTTTGATCTTCATAACCTGCAAGGATGGCAACTGGAAGACCTTCTGGGTGATTTTTTGTACCAGCTGAGAGCGGGTCAGAGGGTCCATGTATGGTCTCAAGGCACTGAGAAGAGAAAGAAGGGGAGAGGAAAGGATCAGCACCCAGCAGTCCATAAACCTGGTGAAGAAATATGTACTGTGCCTGGCCGTACTTACGTCAGGCGAATGATGTTTTCCATTGCCTCGTGCAGGTTGGTGATTGATGCCATTGGCTGCTCTCTGATAACCTCCTGTGGTGGGGAAGCACACAGCATGTCAGGGAACTGGAGGCGCCATCCCTGCCACCACCACACCAAGCCCTGAGGTGTGCTCTCTATCCAGCCCACTTGACAACTTCTTTGCAATTGGCAAGTGGGTCCTCCTAGAGGAGAAGAGTGGGCTTCCTGGATCTGGGAATAAGATCCCTTTTTCTCCTGGGCAGAGCTCTACCCCATAAGAACAGCATAAGATCAGCCTTCTGGACCAGGCCAAGGGCCTATCTAGTCCAGCATCCTCACAGCATTCTCGCAGTGGCCAACCAGACGTCTGTGAGAAACCAGGGAGCAGACCATGAGCCCAAGAGCCCTCTCCCCGCCTGTGGCTTCCAGCAACTATATTCAGAAACATTGCTTCCTTCCTCTGTGGAGGTAGAACATAGCAATCATGGCTAGGAGCCATCGACAGCCCTCTCCTCCTGGGAGAACCTAGCCTCTTTTACTTAGGCGCTGGTGACAGCCTGCTGAGGTTGCCACAATGTAGGGCTGCCTTTCAAGAGGGTTTGGAAACTTGAGCTGGAGCAGAACGTGACCACCCAGAAATGGTTGGGGCCAGATGGTCAGAACATGCAACCCAGAGCTAGACCTACACAGCTATTTTTAAGAAAAAACGCTCTGAAAAGAAACCCCAGGAGATTCCCCCTCTTTTTTCTTTTCTTTTACTCACTATGATGCAGAAGGTGAGCTCCTCTTTGTGGGGGAAGGTGACATGTCCCACATTCGACTGCACAAGCGCCTTGGTTGTTAAAGTTGCTGCCTTCATAAAGCTCTTCTTCAAAGTCCTCGTTCTGAAAGGAGAAGGGATTTTATAAAATTGAGTTTGAATCAAAATCACAAGGAAACATAAAGCCACACTGACCCTAACCCTTAATTCTAATCCTTACCCTAACACTAACCCAATCCAAAAATTAACCACCAGAAATGGTCTTGTTAGATAGTTAAATTCATGTTGAAATTGCTGTTTTAGGGTTTCTTTAAAAAAGGTCTGGAACGGAATTAATCCATTTTGCATTACTTTCTATGGGAAAGCGTGCCTTGGTTTGGAACGCTTTGGTTTCAGAATGGATTAAGTTTGAGAACCAAGGTACAACTGTAATGCCCCATTTGGTCCTAAGGGTGGAGCCAGTATACACCCCAGTCTACAACCCTTTGGTGGATGAAGCCAAAGACCCTGCCCTAGGGCACAGTCTGAAGGCATGTGGTGCAAGGACCTTGACGGAGCTCAGGAGGTCTGCTCAGTGCCTGGATGGTGACCACGGGGGAAATGGTTGCACACCTCCTGGAGTCGTATGACAGGAGAAAGGCAGGATATACCGTATTTTTTCGTGTATAAGACACCCCCTATTTAGGGGGACTCCAAATTAAGAAAATGGGGGGGGAAGGATTGCCCAGAGTTGCTGAGCTTTTGGAAGGGGAGGATTAGCCACAGTTGTTCAGCTATTTGGGGGAGGGGATTCCAAAAATTGCTCACCCGCTGGACCTATGCTGCCACTCACACACGTCGCAAAACCCACCTATTGTCTGTCCCTTGCCGGCAGAAACCGCCAATCGCCTTCCCAATTTCCGCAGCGACAGCCAGTCAACACCACCCCTTGCCGCAGCCACCAATAACACCAATAACCACCAGAAGGCCCTCGGCGCTGGATCTCAGTGTCCAGGCTGAACGATGGGGGTGGAGAGGCTCCTTCAGGTATACTGGTCTGAGGCCGTTTAGGGCTTTAACACTTTGAATTGTGCCCGGAAACGTACTGGGAGCCAATGCAGATCTCTCAGAACCAGTGTTATGTGGTCCCGGCGGCCGCTCCCAGTCACCAGGTCTACCTGCTGCATTCTGGATTAATTGCAGTTTCCGGGTCACCTTCAAAGGTAGCCTCACGTAGAGCATGTTGCAGTAGTCCAAGCGGGAGATAACTAGAGCATGCACCACTCTGGTGAGACAGTCCGTGGGCAGGGAGGGTCCCAGCCTGCGTACCAGGTGGAGTTGGTAGACAGCTGCCCTGGATACAGAATTAACCTGCACCTCCATGGACAGCTGTGAGTCCAAAATGACTCCCAGGCTGCGCACCTGGTCCTTCAGGGGCACAGTTACCCCATTCAGGACCAGGGAATCCCCCACATCTGCCCGCCCCCTGTCCCACAAAAAAAGTACTTCTGTCTTGTCAGGATTCAACCTCAATCTGTTAGCCACCATCCCATCCTCCAACCAACCGCCTCCAGGCACTCACACAGGACCTTCACCGCCTTCAGTGGTTCTGATTTAAAGGAGAGGTAGAGCTGGGTGTCATCTGCATACTGATGAACACCCAGCCCAAACCCCCTGATGATCTCTCCCAGCGGCTTCATATAGATATTAAAAAGCATGGGGGAGAGGACGGAACCCTGAGGCACCCCACAAGTGAGAGCCCAGGGATCTGAACAATCATTCCCCAACACCACTTTCTGGACACGGCCCAGGAGAAAGGAGCGGAACCACCGTATAACAGTGGCCCCAGCTCCCAGCCCCTCTAGACGGTCCAGAAGGATGTTATGGTCGATGGTGTCAAAGGCCGCTGACAGATCCAGCAGAACTAGGAAACAGCTCTCACCTTTGTCCCTAGCCCGCCGGAGATCATCAACCAGCGCGACCAAGGCAGTTTCAGTCCCATGATGAGGCCTGAATCCCGATTCGAAGGGATCCAAATGGTCTGCATCCTCCAGGCGTGCTTGGAGTTGTTCGGCAACCACCTGCTCAATCACCTTGCCCAAGAATGGTAAATTTGAGACTGGGCGATAGTTGGCCAAACTGGCTGGGTCTAAAGATTTTTTTTTAAGAAGCGGTTTAATGACCGCCTTTTTCTGCGGGTCTGGGAAGGCTCCCTCACAGAGAGAAGCATTCACCACCCCGCAGAGCCCATCGCCCAGCCCTTCCCGGCTCGCTTTTATCAGCCAGGATGGGCAAGGATCAAGGAGACAGGTGGTCGGTTTCAATTGTCCAAGCAGCCTGTCCACATCCTCGGAGGTAACAGATTGGAATTGATCCCATGTAACAGGACTAGACAGAACTCTAGCACTCTCCCGCCCCGGCCCTGCTCCCACGGTGGAGTCTACCTCCTTCTGAATCTGAGCGACTTTATCTGCATAATAACTTTGCAAAAGCATTGCAGGAGATCTTGGGATCCCTACCAGGCCCCGGTGGTGCAAGTGGTTCTAATAGATTGCGAAACACCTGAAAAAGTCTCCTGCTGCTGTTTTCTGCAGATGCAATGGAGGCGGCGAAGAAGCCCTCTTCGCCGTTGCCATTGCCACTTGGTAGGCTCGACGTTGAGCTCTAGCCCGTGTCCGGTCTGATTCAGAGTGAGTTTTCCGCCACCAGCGCTCTAGCCGTCTCAACGATTGTTTCATTGCCCTCAGCTCCTGGGGAAAACCACGGGGCTGTCCGGGCTCCATGCAATCGAGAGGGCGCTTCGGAGCCAGACAGTCAATAGCCCTGGTTAACTCCGTATTCCAAGGGGCCACCAGGGAATCAGCCGAGAGGCCATCAACTTGGGATAAAACATCCCCTACCACTCTCTGGAAACCAGTTGGATCCATTAAGTAGTGGGGGCGGACCATCCGAATCGGTCCCACCTCCCTGCAGAGGGGAAGGGTCGCGGGAAGTCCATTTGCACCAGGAAGTGGTCTGACCATGGCACTTCTTTTGTTTCGCTTTTAGTTAGTGTCAGATCACCAACATCCGTAGAGGTAAACACCAAGTCTAAGGCCAAGGGGAACCCAAAAGGGATCTGGTTCTGCCTACTCACCTGGGAGCGCTGGCCCAGAGTCCTCAAGGCTCTTCTTTTTTGAGGGCCGCTGCTGGCTTGGGTCTTGCTTGCTGGTCTGGGGCTTCACCAGCCCTGGCAAGACTAGGGGTCTGGCCTCTGCCACCCTGGCCTCTGCCGCTGATGGTGTAGGCTTGGCCAATGCTGGCAGTAGGACAGAGGCCTCATCCTCATATGAGGGGTAGATCTTGTTTTTGGGTGCAACTTGATTTTTCCTCCTGCCCTCTGTGGCTGATGTTGAAGGCTTCGCCAATGGCGGCAGTAGGGCAGGGGCCTCATCCTCATATGAGGGGTAGATCTTGTTTTTCTTTTTTCTTTTTAGAAAAGAAGCCATCCTGCAAGTTGCAAAAAGATTAGGAATTATTGGGAAATGATATATAATGAATTGAAAAAAATGTTTAAAAAGACTTTTGTTAAGAAACCAGAAGCATTCCTTCTAGGAATTTTAGACCAAGATGTAAAAAAAGAAAATTGGAAATTATTTATGTATGCAACAACAGCGGCAAGAATTTTATTAGCACAAACTTGGAAGACAGAAGAAATACCAACGAAAGAACAATGGCAAGGGAAACTTATGGAATATGCAGAACCGGCAAACAAACTAACAGAAAAATTACATGAAAAGGACAACAAAGACTTTAAAAGAGAATGGGAACCATTTACAACATATATGAAGAGGCAACATAAAGAAATGGACTCATTGGCAGGGTTTGAGTGAACAATCACAACTGTCTACAACAAAAAATAAGACTATATGTATTGAGGAAATTTTGGGGAAACATCAAATACGCAAGGTGAACAATAGGGAAATAAAACAAAATGTGAGTACGAGGGAAGCCCAGGGGAGGAGGGTCGAAATATGAAAAATTGTTAAAGATATATTGTTAGAAGTAGAATCCATGGAAAAATCAATAAAAAATTTATTTTTAAAAAATAAATAGAATCTCTGGATAAGAAAGTGTCAGTTTTAGGTAATCTATTAAGACTGGAATATGATATTCCAGTTTTGATTGCTGGAAATTTAGCAATTGGGAAATATTATCCTGGATATTGACAGAATCTGGGAATAATTCAAAGTATTTGGTATTGTATTTTTATTTGTAAACATTGAAATGAGGAAGTCTTTTTACTCAGAGTGAGAAGGATGACCAAATATTTGACAGACCTGGAAATAGCAAGCTCATGTAGATCCAAGGGGGGAGGAAGTAGATACCGCAGAAGAATATTGTAAAATTTGTGGAGGAAAATGATCTGACATGATCTACTATTCCAGCCTGGTTATCTCTTCCTAATTCTGGGTGCTGTGTTTTATTAACTTCAATATCTCTGTGAAAAGGTCTTTTAATGTACGGTCAGTAAAAGCCTGGATGTAAGGCCTGCCTTTTGTGTGAACAGTTTTGTTTTCGTTTTCTCCTTATGGGTGGATCCCAGGACAGACTAGGTCTGGCTGAAGGTCTGCCCTGAAAGCTTTGCTGGAAGGATCTCCCATTGCTGTGCCACTTTGCAGGAGTCGACTCCTGCAGGCGGCTTCTCTTGTGTGCGGGTGGAGGCGCGCTGCCTGCAGAAGTGGACCCTGGGACTAGCTACCTGGAAAACCTCTGTGCCTGAGGACGCCACAACTCCTGTGGCCTTTTCAGGCTTTGCCCTCGGATGGGAAGAGCATTGCACCCGGGAGAGGGAAAGGGGAGTCAAACAGGCACTCAAGGGATAATTTCAGAGAAAAAGCTTTATTTCTGCCATCCGGGGTTGGTAGAAGGAGCTAGTGTGATAACTTCACAAACAAGCACAAGTTCACAGCCATTTGCACAGAGCATATATTCCCCTCCAGTTCCCTCCACCTTCTCCCCCTCCTCAGGAGTCCTGCCTCATGAGTTTCCCTGAGCATGAACAGAAAGCTCCTGTCCTGGGACTCTTGGGACTCTTGGTGCCCTTCCCAGGAAAGGGGGATGAGAAGCCAAGGGGGTTGAAGAAGCCTTGCGTTCAGCGTGTCCAAGATGTGTTGCAACTGGATGAGATAAGACTCAGTTCCCAGACCTGTTTATTCCTGGCATTGACAGAGCCTATTCATTAGCTTTTTGAAGCCTTCTTGTACTGATAAAAAATAACCTTTTGCTTATGCAGCAGCATCTTGTGAGAAAGCAGAGAAGAGCAGAGAAAAGCTGTTGTAGATGAGAGAAAGTGGAAATTTGGTTTTGAGGCCTGAGGTGACTTTGGGCCTAGGGGGGGGTCACCTGTCCTCACCTCCTTCATTCCCTGGCTTCTCTCCCCCACCCCCCCAGAGAAAGGGGAAGGCATGGACAACAGACAGTCGCTTCAGGACACCGATCCGCTCTCAAGAAGCCGGCGCATGGGAAGAGCCGCACCCCATCAGCTGCGAGCAGTACCTGTTCCGCCTCCAAATAATCATTTGGGCTTCTGTGTATATTCCCAGGTTGTACTTTCAGTTAGTTGGGAAAGGGGGGGCGGTTCTCCAGCAGATGCAGGAGTGAAACGCCATCCCTTTTGTTGTGTTGAAAACAACAACTCATCTGTGGGAGCCTCAGCTTCTGATCCTAAGGATGAGGCTAATGCTTCTGGTTCCTATCCCTGAAGTTCTTTTATAGGTACTGAAGATTGACTGGATATACTGTTTATTGGTTTGGTAATGCTGTGTGTCATTTAGAATGTGGTTGAACAACTCACACCACTCATGTGATGGCTCTCTGGGAAGTCAGCCCAAATCATGGCGTGCACCGCATCCCAGAGAAAAAGGGTACGTGAGCCTTAAAAACCCTTTTGGATCTCTGTCCGAACAGAACAGCTGCATTATTTCTCTGGGAAGGTTTTAGTTTAGGTTTTAGGATCCCAGCTGCTTTCCCCCCCAATTCAGGTGACCCACCAAATCAGAAATCAGTTAGAGAGATGCCCAAAGCAAGAAAATACTTAAAGAAGTTAAGGCAGGGAGGGTAGCCGGCCCCTTTTCCGTCCCTCCCATAGAGAGTTTGCATATATGGAAGGATCATTAGGCGCGAGTGATCATGCTCTTCTGAAGTTTACTATACAGCGGAAAGGAGCAGCCAAGCATACTAGGACTCAATTTCTTGACTTTAAGAAAGCCGACTTCATAAAACTTAGGGAAGTGCTGGGTGAGATCCCATGGACAGTAATACTGAAAGGAGAGGGAGTTCATGATGGCTGGGAGTTTGTTAAGAGGGAGATAGTAAAAGCACAACTTCAGGCAATACCAATGAGACGGAAACATGGAAGGTGCCTAAAGAAGCCAGGGTGGCTATCTAAAGAACTTTTAACTGAGTTAAGATTAAAAAAGGATGTGTACAAAAAATGGAAAAGGGGGGAAACCACCAAAGAGGAATTCAAACAAATAGCCAGCACGTGTAGACACAAAGTCAGAAAAGCTAAAGCACAGAATGAACTCAGGCTTGCTAGAGAGGTTAAAAGCAACAAAAAAGGCTTTTATGGGTATGTTCGTAGCAAAAGGAAGAACAAAGAAACAGTGGGGTCACTCAGAGGAGAAGATGGTGAAATGCAAACAGGGGACACAGAAAGGGCTGAACTCCTCAATGCCTTCTTTGCCTCAGTCTTCTCCGATAAAGAAAACAATGCCCGACCTGAAGAATTTGGAGCAAATGATTCAGCAGAGGAAACACAGCCCAGAATAACTAAGGAGATAGTACAAGAATACTTGGCTAGTTTAGATGTATTCAAGTCTCCAGGGCCAGATGAACTGCATCCAAGAGTATTAAAAGAACTGGCAGATGTGATCTCAGAACCACTGGCAGTCATCTTTGAGAATTCCTGGAGAACAGGTGAAGTCCCGGCAGACTGGAGGAGGGCAAATGTTGTCCCTATTTTCAAAAAGGGGAAAAGAGAGGACCCAAATAATTACCGCCCAGTCAGTCTGACATCAATACCAGGGAAGATTCTGGAGCAGATCATTAAGCAAACAGTCTGTGAGCACCTAGAAAGGAATGCTGTGATCACCAGTAGTCAGCATGGATTTCTGAAAAATAAGTCATGTCAGACTAACCTGATCTCGTTTTTTGACAGAATTACAAGCCTGGTAGATGAAGGGAACGCAGTGGATGTAGTCTACCTTGATTTCAGCAAGGCATTTGACAAGGTGCCCCATGATATTCTTGTAAAGAAGCTGGTAAAATGCGGTCTTGACTATGCTACCACTCAGTGGATTTGTAACTGGCTGACTGACCGAACCCAAAGGGTGCTCATCAATGGTTCCTCTTCATCCTGGAGAAGAGTGACTAGTGGGGTGCCACAGGGTTCTGTCCTGGGCCCGGTCTTATTCAACATCTTTATCAACGACTTGGATGATGGACTCAAGGGCATCCTGATCAAATTTGCAGATGACACCAAACTGGGAGGGGTGGCTAACACCCCAGAGGACAGGATCACACTTCAAAACGACCTTGACAGATTAGAGAACTGGGCCAAAACAAACAAGATGAACTTTAACAAGGAGAAATGTAAAGTATTGCACTTGGGCAAAAAAAATGAGAGGCACAAATACAAGATGGGGGACACCTGGCTTGAGAGCAGTACATGTGAAAAGGATCTAGGAGTCTTGGTTGACCACAAACTTGACATGAGCCAACAGTGTGACGCGGCAGCTAAAAAAGCCAATGCAATTCTGGGCTGCATCAATAGGAGTATAGCATCTAGATCAAGGGAAGTAATAGTGCCACTGTATTCTGCTCTGGTCAGACCTCACCTGGAGTACTGTGTCCAGTTCTGGGCACCACAGTTCAAGAAGGACACTGACAAACTGGAACGTGTCCAGAGGAGGGCAACCAAAATGGTCAAAGGCCTGGAAACGATGCCTTATGAGGAACGGCTAAGGGAGCTGGGCATGTTTAGCCTGGAGAAGAGGAGGTTAAGGGGTGATATGATAGCCATGTTCAAATCTATAAAAGGATGTCATATAGAGGAGGGAGAAAGGTTGTTTTCTGCTGCTCCAGAGAAGCGGACACGGAGCAATGGATCCAAACTACAAGAAAGAAGATTCCACCTAAACATTAGGAAGAACTTCCTGACAGTAAAAGCTGTTCGACAGTGGAATTTGCTGCCAAGGAGTGTGGTGGAGTCTCCTTCTTTGGAGGTCTTTAAGCAGAGGCTTGACAACCATATGTCAGGAGTGCTCTGATGGTGTTTCCTGCTTGGCAGGGGGTTGGACTCGATGGCCCTTGTGGTCTCTTCCAACTCTATGATTCTATGATTCTATGATTCTATGACCCTGCAAAGTAGGTTAGGTGGCTGGCTCAAGGTCACCCAGGTGAGCTTCATGACTCTGGGGGGATTTGAACCCAGGTCCACGTCCAA